CACCTCATGGGCTCCGATCATTGCCTCTCGTAGGCAGCTGTTGCCTGCGACTGCTGCGCCCCATGGTTCCGCTACATCGTTGGCCCAGGTTCGAACTCGGTCTCTATGCATGAGCTCCCATGTCCGTCCCAGCCACGGTCATAATGCCAACGCTCTGTCTCCTCCATCTGCAACTGCTGAGTCGCCTTTGTTGGTGGAGGGCTTGGGCTGCAACATAACTACAGACTGCATGGTTTGCCACGGCCATGCGACTGTCTCTTCGATTCCATTGAGAAGAGCTGTAAGCGCTGCTCTGCCAGCTCGCGGTAATCTGCGTGCGTCACTTGTGCTCAGTCTGTCTATGCCTTTACCTCGGTCGGGTAGGCCCGTGATCGCAGCGTCGAACTGGTCCACTGTCCACTGTGCGGCAGTGGTTTGCAATGCTTGCCCACGTAGGTCTCGCAGGAGATGCAGTTGGTCGTCGTGCGATTCACATTGGTCGCTCCAGATCTGCCTGAAGGTCGATGCTTTGAAGTCCAATCGCTCCACAGCAGATCCTGATGTGCCTTCATCTTCAACCAGTGCATATTCATGTCTGGGTCGCGGTTTGGTCGTGCGATGCATCGTGCCATTGTCGCGGTCGTCTGCCAACCAACGCGCGCACTCCTGTCCGCTGCGACGTAGCTCATATCTGAGTGCGGTCTTCGCCTACTCCGCTGCTTGTAGTGCCATACCTTCTATCACTTCCACTTCTAGCACCGACATGTCTGCAAGCCGATCTCGCCATATGGCGCGGTGGAGCCTGGCCGTCGCTGACGCTGCCGCGCCAACTGAGGGTACTCCATCCAAGGCCAGCCTTCTGCAGCATCTCTCCAGTGAAGCGATTTCGCTCTGCCCGGCTTGGCGTCGTTTGAGCTTGGCCAGCGTCGCGGTGGCGGATTCGGCCCTGGCCCGCCAATTTGCTGAGTGCGTGCTATATCTCATACGTCGCTGGCCCTTTTCCTTTTGCTCGGCGTTCTTCAGCTCATACTGTGCGCCTCCCCCGCGGAAGAGCTCCTGGTCTTTGTTGCTGATCTTTGCAGGCTCGGCAGTAGAAGCTCTCAATGTGGTGGGCAGTTCTCTGAAAGCTTGCTCCTGCTCGGACGGCTGCCTCTGGGGCCGCTCTGGAGGTAGCGCTGTCCGTGATGTAGGATGGTGGCTCGGCTGCTTCGGTATGTTGCTCTGCTGCAACCTCAGCCCACATGTCGCCCATCGTGCGCGTGTCCTGGTCAGGGGCCTGGAATGGTGATGGCCTCCCGTCTCGCTGGTTTGCCTCGGCCTCGTGCTCTGCCTCGCTGCCCCCCGCATTGGCAAGAACCACTGGCTGAGGTATTTGTGGTCTGGGCTCCTGGGGCGGCATGTCTTCGACTGAGTCTGAGAACACGTGGTCAAGATCATTCATGGGGTCGGGCTCGGCGTCTAAACTTGTGTTCTTGGCTGCTGGTGTTTGTGCTGGTTGTGTGTCCGCTTGTGCTTGCTCTGGATGCGCCATCCATCCCGTTGGCGTGATGGCTTCCCATCTCGCCGCTATCAGCTGGTCGTAGTCAGGTTGTGCTGCTGGGGTCGGCTGAGGTCGGGTGGGGCGCTGTGCTAGAGCTTGCTGTCGTTTGCTGGATGGTGCGGGTGGCTTGGGTGGGAGCTCGGGGTGCTTGAACGGCCTTGGCATGTGTAACTGCCAAACGATGTTGTACCTGACCTCCCCACGCAAGATGGGCCTCACTGACAGGCTCCACTCCGACTATGTGTTGTTGTGCTGACGGGCTGACAATAAAGTAATCAATATGCGATGGTGGGCTGCCCTTCTTGAAGCATGTGTGCGCGTTGCCCTCGGGTGTGAGTATGCGCCCGTCTCCTAGTGCTTCTGGCCAGCCTGCTGCTGCGAATTCGGTTTGGGGGGGTGTTGAAGTCACCTGCCACAACCCACGGGCTATTCAACGTGCTCAAAAATTGTCCGATCTCTTTTACTATGTCCGCATTCGGTCTCATTCTGAGTGGCTTGTGGCACTCGAGGTACGAGCTGATGACCACGATGGAGAAACCACGCATATGCCACACCATGGGTATCCAACCCTGGAAGGACAGGAGATCGGCTGAATCAGTACAAGGTTTGCCTGCCGTCGAGTGCGACACGCTGCCCTTCTCCCCAAGCTCGCGCAGGAACCTGGTGCAAAAGTGGTTCCTAGCAATCGCAGTCACACCTCCATGAGAACCCTTCACTGAGGCCTTCGACTGTCGTGCTGAAGTGAAACATGCTTTTAGACCCAACTTGGCGAGAGAGGCTTCCGCATCCTCGAGCTCTTGGAACTTGAGGTGCGTCTCCTGTAGGAGGTACCCGTCGTACAGTGGTCGCTGGTCCCGTCGGCACTGTAGCGTTCCCCTAAGCCACTTCTCCGCCTGTGGTCCCCACGTAGTAATATTGCCAACGGGCGTTGAGATCTGCTCAGGGGTGGCCGGGCGGTTGGCTGTCATGCCACCCCGCAGCTGTTTCTAGTTGGGTACTGCAGCAGGCAACTTCCCCTCGCGGATCTGGCGGGGGAGCTCATCACGCTGCTCTGGTGTTGTATGGGGTCCCTTCAGCTGGTGTCGGCGCTGGCGTTCTCGGTGGTGCGCTTGCCGATGCTGCTGAAGATGCTGCTGTCTGCTGCCGCTGCTGCTGCAGCTGGTCCGTGGTCTTGCGCTTCTTGGCCTCCCTGAGCCTTGTCGCAACTGCCATGGCCTTCGCCTTGGCTTCGTCTATGCGCTCCTTGATCTGGCCCGCGTATGATTGCGCTCCCGCCTGTAGGTCTCTGATGGCTGCCTGCTTGGCTGCCAAGATATCCATCTTCAGCTCCTCGCCCTCGTCGCCTTGCAGCACGTCCTCCAACTCAAGGTCGATGCCCCCGTTCTGCTGCAGCTCGTGCTCAGAGGAATTCAGGAGCTGTTTCATGAGACTCTTCGGCTTGTTCTCCATCATGATCTCGTTCAGGTTGGCCTTCGCTTGCTCGAGCGCTTTGCCTTTCTCGACCATATCCTCATACGCCTTCGCGACTTGTCCTTGCAGTCTGTTGTGCTCGTCGCAGGCTTTGTGGAATCCATTGTAGGCCACCTCTTGCGCCTTCGCCGCTGCTGTGCATCGAAGCTCTGCAGGTTGTTGGGGCCGAAGTGGTTGGAACGTTTGGCTTCAAATCGTCAGCTGTGCTCCCAGCGCTGTCACCGCTGTGTTGGCACCCAGTCCCATCTCTTGGAGCTGCTGGCCGAGCGTTGACATCAACTTGGTCATCTCCTGGGTCTGGTGCTGGCTGCTGCTGCTGCTGCTGGCATCGCCGCTTTGCTGTCGCTTTTGCTCTTTGACGTAGTTCGGTTGTTTGACCAGCTTGTTGCAGTGCCAGCATTTCCATCCATTCTTGGCCAGTGTGGTGTCGTAGGTCCACTTGCTGCAGCTGCGGCACACTGTGTACTGTGCACCTCCACGGGGGAGGAGGAGGGAGAGGAGGACGGAGAGGGGCAGGAGCATGACGGAACACGGAGGAGGAAGCGGTGAACCGTGAGGAAGAAGAGTGTGAGGGCGAGGGCGAGGAAGGCAGAGTAATAATAAGAGGAGGATGGCGACTGGCCATTTCCACTGGTCGCGTGGCCTCACCCAAAAACTCCTCGGGGCTCGGAGGGGGGATTTGAGAGCGTCTGGGCGGGGGGACTCCCACCAACGCAGACGTCGGTAGTCTGCTCAATGCGGGTTTTTCCCGGCGTCGGCGGCAGGCGCCCACGAGGCATCCACGGGCAGGGAACCAGGCGAAGTGCTCGCCACACGCATCCAGTGACTGCAGTCGGACTCGGTTGGACAGGAGACACGCGAGAGGACACGAGACCCTTCCCTTCCGAGGGCCACATTGCCACAGGAATATAGGAGGCATGGGCCGCGAGACACAGGACACAAGAGCACCCTTGATTTGACAGGATCGACCCACTAATCCGGGCCGACTGTATCCAACCTGGGCACACACACACCCCTGATGGGAAGCTGTGCTCTACGCGTCCAGAAGGCCAAGTGATTTCACAGTGCGGCTCTCGCACCGCGCACACGGATCTTGCGAGCTTACAGCGGTGACCGGGATGGAGGCTCGTGCGTTTCCCAGATGCTACTCTCGCCTGAGACTTACTGACAGGCTGAGGCCCGAATCTCCAACTTGTGCCAAGCCCTCGGATGGGTGGCGCCTCCTCTTTAAAAACGGGGGTCATCGCTCAGGTGCTCAGGTGCCCGCCACTTGTCCGGACCATAACTTCGACATGGTTCAGCACGTGCGCGGACGGATGACGGATCCTTTCTCAAAGCAGGGGTATCGGGAACAGCGCTGTGAACCTGCCTCTCTGCGTCTCCTCTAGCTTTGAGACGTGGCGAACCTGCTAGAGGCCTTCCAGGAGCCAAATCCTGAACATTCCTCCTAGAGGCCCTCCAGGAGCCAATCTTCCATCCTTCGAGCTAGAGTCTAGCTCGAAGGATGGAAGATAACACGTGCTCTGCAGAAAAGGAGTCTCGTTCGAGCAGCCGGCCCAGCAGGCGCTCGGCCTTCACGGGGGTGCCTCCCACCGTGGGCTGGAACACCTGCAGGGACTTGTGAGGGGAGTGCTCCGCTTTGCAGCGTCGTTGGCGCATCCTGGGGTCTGCGACTACTCTGGTGTGGTGCTCCTCCTCCTCCTCCTGCTCCTCCTGCTCCTGCTCCTCCTCCTGCTCCTCGTCCTCATCATCATCATCATCATCATCATCATCATCATCATCATCATCATCATCATCATCATCATCATCATCATCATCACCACCACCATCATCATCATCATCATCATCATGATCATCATCAGCATCATCATCATCATCATGATCATCATCAGCATCATCATCATCAGCATCATCACCACCATCATCATCAGCATCATCAGCATCCTCCTCCTCCTCCTCCTCCTCCTCCTCCTCCTCCTCGGTTCTCCTCCTCCCCATCCCTGGAAGCGGCCTCCGCTGGCTGCGCCGCACAACTGCCCGCCGCCATTTCTGCTGCGGGCGCCGGCGGCGGCATCGCGCCAGGGCGGCCAAGGGGGGGAGGAGGGGGAAGAGAGGGAGGGAAATGGGCGGGAGGGAGGAGGGAGGAGGGGGGGGGGGGGGGGGCGAGGGAGAGAGGGAAGAGGGGGAGAGGAGGGAGGAGGGGAGGGGGCAGAAGGGAGGAGAGGGAGAAGGAGGGAAGGGGGAGGTATGAGGAGGAGCAGGAGGAGGAGGAGGAGGAGGAGGAGGAGGAGGAGGAGGAGGGAGACCAAATCGGGGGGGAGGAGGGAGGGAGGGGAGGGAAGGAGGGAAGGAGGAAGGGGGAGGAGCGAAACCAAATCGGGGGGGAGACTCAAGCATGGGGGAGGAGGAACGGAGGGAAAAAGGGGCTTGTGGCGTCGTGGCAGCATGTTGTGCTTGTCAACGAAGGAGCACAAAACAACTGGTGGTGGCTGTGTCGTCCCTCTTTCCTCCGAGAAGAGGGATGGGGGAAACCAAATCACAGGGAGGCACAATCACGACAAGAACAAAGGTTAGAATATTCGGCATCCGGGGGCCCTTCCCGCGCCGCGGGGCAATCGGAACACAAGAACCGGGATGCAAAACCGGTCCTCGGGAAGGGGACCAGACCTCCTGACGCCCATGTTGCGAACAAAATCGTGGCGTCGGATGTGGGGAGGGAGAAGAGGGGTGTGGGGGAGTTTGAGGTTCGAGGCTTTCTACCACTTTCGCTTGTCACTAACGGGCTTCCCCATCTCAGGGTGCTCTACAACAACTGCGTTTCACCGGGGGTCTTCCCAGAGTGCCCCGGTCGCCACGGACGGCCGCCGGAGACGAGTCAGGGCCCGAAGACAGCTCCCGAGAGAAGGATAGCGGACGGGCGAGAGGGGGGACCTGCTTTGGGGCGCCATGAGGCTGTCGTCGGGCCCAGCTTCCTGGTGCCATCACCCTGGGAAGTACGGCGGTCGTGAGTGTCCATCGTGGGAGAAAGAAGGGGAGAGGGGAGTGGAATGGGGAGGATGCACAAGGGAAAGGGGGGTGAGGGGGAACGAGTCGGGATGGGTGGGGGGAGTCACCTGCCAAAGACCAACAGCACCCGTACCAGCCACAGGTACCACGGCCAGACATGGAGACGCTACTCGACCCAGGGCCTCGCGGGCTGGGTCGTCGTCGTCGTCGTCGTCCGAGTCGCTGGTATCAGAGAAGCCAGCAAACTTATCCCACAAGGCCGTCTCGGCCTGGGTTGCAGCAGGTTGCGGGTGCTCCTGCCCGGTCCGCCCCGCTCCCACTCCCGCCCAAGAGGTCTCAGGGAGAGAGGGAACCGGTGGCAATCCAGCCGCCTCGCAGAACCTCCGAGTTCGCAGCGACATTGGATGGCCTAAAAACAAGCCTGATGCGGGGTGCTGTCCTTTCAGCATGTCCTCAAGGCGCTAATCCCGCCAGCCATCTGGGCGTAGGCGGTTGAGAGCGTTTCCTCTTCCCTTCCACACCTCCCTCTTCCGATTTCGGGGAGGGGTTTACCCCTGCCCCCATTACCCCCTTCCCGTTGACCTGGAGGGGTGCGGTCGCGAGGCGCTGGAGCGTCCAAAGTGGCCCAAGATGGCTCCAAGACGGCCTCAACGAGCTTAAAATGACCTCCGAAATGGCTCAAGAAGGCGCAGAATTTCTCAAGATGGCTCCCGACGTGCTCCGCCAGGCCCCAAGACCACCCCGAAGAGGGTTCCAAGTAGCCACGGAACCTCCCAAAGAGGCCGCCAAGATGCCCAAATCATTCCAACGCCGAATGAGAATCTATGAATGTTGCATTCTCTCCTTTTTCGCTTCCGATGGCCCCTCAAGACAGCTCCAAGAGGGCCCTAAGAGAGCCTCAAGAGAGTCCCAAGGCGGCCCCAAGAGCGCCAAAAAACGCTCCAAGAGCGCCCCAATAAGGGTCCAGGAGGCGATTTTAAGGGGCCCCCGAGGGGGTAGGCTGATTAAGGACCCCCCTTCTTTGATCGATCTCTTCCAAAATTGCCCCTAAAAGCGCCCCTGAAGCTCCCAAGGGCGCCCCAAAAGGGCCCCAAGGGGCGCCAACGCGGACGCCCATGAGATATTCCAAGGGGTTCCGAAAGGCATCCAATATACCTCTGGAAGTTTCGCTTGCCCTACTCCTCCTGCTCCTCCTTCCACCTCCTACTCCTTCTCTTCCTCCTCCGCCTCCTCCTCGTCATCGTATTCATCTTCCTTCTCCCCACTCCCCCATCGCATCCTCGTCCTCATCCAGGGTTGGTGGGACGACTTCTATAATCGCAACCGCGGCGAGACAAGTCGGGCGGCGGATAGGGACGAAGCGCACATGCATCAACCTAAATTAGCGCACGAGAGAGGAAAAGGGCGAAAAGAAAAGGAACAACAACGAGCAGGAGAGACGGACGGCAGGCGAACCTAAATGCCGCTCAGAAGAGCGCCGGCACCAGGAGGAGTTCCTGGGCGTCGTGCGGCAACACGGGGTGATTGAAAAAGTCCATGACCTGGATGTGGAAGACCGTCGCAAGGAACAGCACGCCGTGGACAAAACTAGGATCACATAACGACGACCTTCGACACGAGGAGGGGCATGCCGTGCGGGCGCTCAACGCAAGATCCGGATCGCCAAACACCAGATGGTGCGGAGGACGGTGGGTGCGGTAAGAGGCCCAGCTCCAGCGACGGCTCGAAGAGGCCAGGCCCGAGCACCGGGAGGTGCCATCGAGGCGGAGAGGCGGCGGACGGCCAGCGCCTGGGGGCAACAGCGCGACCCAGGGAGGGAGCCACGAGGGGGAGGACCTACGGTCCTTCTACCCCGAGCGGGAAGGAAACGCGGCAAACTCAACGTGAGTCGCGAGCCCAGGAACTCCGGAGAAATCTCCGAAAAGGGGAGAGGCCAGCAGGCTGACCTCCGTCGCGCCCATGGAGGCCATGCTGGCGGGGATACGCGAAGCGTCTAGAATACCTAGAACCTTCCACCAAAGAGCCGGCACGACGCTTGAACGGGAAACACTCATCCGACAGATCCTGATAATGTTTCTCCGCATGCGCACCGCAAAGTGAGCAGAGCAGGACGGACCCAACACGGTAGAACGCATGCTGATTTAGCTGGCGAAGGACATGGGGGCAGCGAAGGGCGGGGGAGGGGAAATAACAGAAGGATGATTCCGGGGAAGGAGGAGGAGGAAGAGGAGGAGGAGGAGAAGGAAGAGGAGGAGGAGGAAGAGGAGAAGGAGGAGGAGGAGGACGAGGGGGAGAAGGAAGACGACGAGCAGAGAAGAAGGAGGAGGCAGGAGGGAAACGGCGAGGATGGATTCGAATGCGTTCTGGAGTAAGGGGGGCAGGAGGCAGAAGGAAGAATTGTACTCTTCCGGCGAGCGGATTATAGGGTGAGAGCAGCTCAAAAGGCTCGACTGCTCTTGGCAACGACTCGGGCGCGGGCGAGGAGGGCACGAATACACTCAGGCCCCCACCTGCCCTAAGCCCTAAGGTCGTTACATGTCTGGTGCAAGGGTCACGCACACAGAACAGACTCTGCATGCCAAGGCGGTCGAGACAATTAGACGGCGGGCACAAAGTCTGATCTTCGAGTGACGCCTCGTGCTACATGCCAGGAAGGTGCGGCAACACATGATAGACAAGCGGCACAAGACCATGACATTTGAACCGTGCAAGAACGTTTCACTTCCATCGGCTCGGCAACCGAACCTGCAGGAGTGCCGTCCTGGTAAAAACCTGGCGGATGTCGCCCATGCATACGAACACTTTCAAGCATGGCGGCTAGGGCCAGTTGGGTGTTGGGTGAAGGCTCGCCGAAACCCGAGGACCACCAGGTCGAATCTGTAAAGGGCAAATCTTTGGCGGACCCTCGGAACAGCAAACAATCGGCGGCCCGAGAGGGATGTTCTGCCCATCTCTGAAATTCAGGAGTGTCGTCACCAAAGATCATCCACGGAAAGGCCGCCAGGCGCTCGTAAGTCTGAACAACACGCATCACCATACAGTCCTTGTGTCATCCAGGGAAGCGAGCAGCAGCAATCACATTGCAAAACTCGTGCTGCAGGCTGTGGCACAGGGAACGGGTCGCATCGATCACTCTGGAACGAACAGCGACACGGAACATAGGTACCTGACGATCCAGAACAAAACGGCGAAGAGACACTGGAAAACACCAGCAAGCTAAAGTTCATTCACACTTCCGGGGGCGCCTGTAGTCCAAGGGGCCGAAGGACACACAAGTAAATACACACAAATCCCAGGATCCCCCATTTTTTGAATATTTTCTGGGTGTTTGTCTTCCCTCCACTTCCTATCTTTTCCCATATTCCCGGGGGGATGGACGATTCATTGTGTCTGTGTGTTTCCCCCCCGCCCTGGGTAGTAGAATCTGACGTCCCTTCCCCTCGGCAGCGATCGTGCCGGACGCGTCCTGCACGGGTCGAAACACGGCTGCCCCCGGAGTGCCAGCACGGGAAAAATACGAGTTGTGCGCGTGCGCGTGCAGGGTCAGCCCGAATACGATGGAGCGAACACGGTGCACACTTTTTTTCAACAGCGAGGCGGCGAACTCCGCTTCAGCGAGAAGCTAGAAAGGGGCACTCACCAGCCGTGGCAAACCACGGTGGCAAGGGTGGCGGGAGGGCGGCTGCCAGCAGCAGCATGGTGCACTCAATGTCACAAGCAAGGAGCTTCCGAGCGGGACCCTCAAGTCTTCAGATATCCACCCGGGCCAGCGAAATATCACAGGACGATGCGCCATGCTGGAACACCGAACATTCAAACGTGCGCTGCGGAACGGGACCTGGTGCCCGTCGTCAGACATCGGACTCACGCGCATAAACATACACTTGCAAAGGTTACGCAAGAGACCCGCTTATTGGTTAGCTCGAGTAACCGTCTTTATAACGACAGGCACAGCAGTGAGTAGGTTGGCGGCAGAGATCTGAACATCGCCCACAGATGCCCGAGGACACGCCGAAAGGGGTGCAAGTGCCTCTCCAGGAGGAGGCAGAAGGAGGATGAGCTGTCCCA